TAATAAAATACATTACCATAAGTAAACATAATAGACAATCATAAAACAAAAATATACACAGATTATTTTTCTAGCTCAACTTAAATCAGGAATGAAGTCAGTTTGCTGTGAATGATAAAGGAGAATTTGAAGCGTATAACGCAGATGAGTGTGCAGCCCTGATATTTGGTGCTGCTGCACAGACGGCCGTGTTGCTGCTCTGTAAATCCAGCCTCAGTGAATTCCTCACTCTGGATTATTTTCCTGGCAGCTCGTTTCACTTTCCTCCTCTTCAAAGCTCTGGAGTGGCTGAAATGCCTCACTCTGACCAGCTCGAGCATGGACTAAGTTTTATTAAAAGAAATCCCAACTGGAAAAACAAGAGGAAGCTGTCACCCAGCAATCTCTTAATTAAATGTTTTTGATCTCTAGCTGATTGTCTAAGCGTGACAGCAGAAATGATAAAGGAAGCTGCTTTAAGACGTAAACGGAACCGCTGAGGCTGCAGATGCATGTCACAGATTTGTGTTCATGCAGAGCGATTAGAAGTCTGGCTTTATTGAGATTTCCGTTTGCTCAACGCTCATCGAGCCAACAGTTTGTTATTCACAAAAAAAAAAAAAATCAGTGATGGATTATGTTTTATTCAGATTACAGTCAGTTTGTTCAAACCTACAACTAGACATGTTCAAGACAGAAACACACACACATGCTTTTAGATTTCTGTAATGTCATTTCCAGTCTATTCCAAATGCCTTTATCATATTCCTTCTTATAAAGAGAGAAACAAGAGTGAGAAGCTGAGAGAAATGAATGAGTGTGTATCTTTTCCATTTAGGACTAAAAAAAAGTTTCAGTTCCCATATTTTATTTAAAAAATTGTTTTCCAAGTGTGTATTGGAGGAAGATGTTTATTTCAGTTGATTTGTTCCTTAATTTAAAAAAAAAATAGTAAAAAATATTTCTTAAAACTTTTATTCTAGAAAATTTGACCTCAACCAACATGAATGGATCGGCATGTCAGCTGTTTGGAGAAAATTTGTCTTTCCATCAAAGGAAAACTAAAGCTCAAGTTTGCCTGCAACAATTTTGCGCCGATTAAAAATTAAAAATGGCAAAGTCTCCATCTGCATCAACCACCTGCACTGAGTTGAGGTAATCTGTATTTGATCTGGAGTCATGGCCGCACACAATCACTCCAGAGGTCACAAATGTTCCCCGGGCCGCACATTGGACAGCTCTACCTTACACAGTTTGACTGGGAACCCGTTTGTATGATTGGGTTAAAATGACTTTTTTCTCCTAAAGTTCTTTGAA